GCTTAATCCACGATTATACATAGTAGGCAACATAGGTTTGGTCTGCAGTCTTGTGCTTTACAGAGCATGTGAAGGACAATCTGATTTAGATGCTACTGCGAAAACTCTCAATTAATTACCTCAAACAACCTCTGCTGATGAGTACTTCAAAATGTTCGCCATAACAGCTTTTCAAAGCGATACCGTACATAGCGACAGTCAGATGACCTCGTGTCTTTCTATGTCAACCCATGTCTCCGCAATGTTCGTAACATGCATGTTAGCAGAGGAAAGCCCCACTATATCGCAGTTAGGATGTAAATTATGATGCCAGAAGATGGGCCCCGTGGCCCATTGACATAAACTACTGACTAGCGGTGCCAACCGCTGGTAGTCATGGGTTCTAATTCAGATGCATCCGATGGATGCGCACTAATGATTATGGCCAAAATGTTCCAAGCATAGTATAGTGATTTTTCGGTCATGTGGAGAATTGCCTACTTTGAATGCCATTGTGACGAACTCTCTGTTACTTACAGCAGAAATCCCAACGAATGTGTACAAATAATAACTGGAATATTCCCATTTAATTATCAAGAATAAAAGTTTGAGGGTAAACACCTCTTTTCCATGTTTCATCTTTCAGAGCGTCAAGGTACTTGCGTATCAGTGGACCGTGATTTTGGACATGACACATGCGTTACTGGTAGCAAGTGTTCACCATTGAACAATTAAAGCGCTCCAGGTCTTCAGTTGACTTTGCTACCAGCCCTTCTGTTTGGCCAAATAGGCTTTCAAACTCTAACTCATAGTGAAGCTGATTGTCTTTGTGTTTGGAGGCGCAAAACTTTGGACCAAGTGATGGAACTTCCATTAAAGTGGAGTTCAATTTCATACTTGAAAAATTGTGCACGTACCTCTCAGGTCCATTGGGGGAAAGTAGATTGTGGCTTATGCCGACTCAACGTTTTTGTTAAGGCCAAAAGCCTTTGCCGTACACGCTTTGCGGTGATAGACTGAACGAAATCCAGGAATGTTTGTTTTACGTCCGAAGCTAACACATCAATCGCATGCTGGCGCTGCGCTATATAGCGCTCGAATTCGACAAATTTGGATTTCACCGTATCGCGCCGGTTCAAAACATGCCGTATAGCCTAATGCCTAACCGCTTAGACGGCATAATTTTTCAAGTATGAAATTAAACTCCACTTTAATGGAAGTTCCATCACTTGGTCCAAAGTTTTGCGCCTCCAAACACAAAGACAATCAGCTTCACTATGAGTTAGAGTTTGAAAGCCTATTTGGCCAAACAGAAGGGCTGGTAGCAAAGTCAACTGAAGACCTGGAGCGCTTTAATTGTTCTCTGGTGAACAATTGCTACCAGTAACGCATGTGCCATGTCCAAACTCACGGTGCACTGGCACAAGAACCTTGACGTGCTGAAGGATTCATTATCGAGTACAATTATTATTTCCAAACACGTTTGTAAGAACAGCCAATCGTTCGTCAAACGTTGATTCCCTTCGTTTAGCGCCATCGGATGAAATTTACCTACTCTATGGGAACTGTACTTGAGGTCGGTTTCCTTCACAAGGTATTTTACAACAAAAGAGTTTTTAGTATTGCTGCAATCTGGTCGATGTATATGCGTATGGGACATTAACAGACGTCTCTTTGGAATGTCCGGATATACAGCATTCTTTGAACACTGGATGCTTTCGCAGTACTCTGTATCACTCCGACTGTCGTGTTAAATAGGGAGACAGGGTTTTTTCTTTGCGAATTCTGTTAACATGCTCATACAATAGCTTTTGCTTTTGACATATTTAAAAGCCAACTTTCGTTGGTGAGCCAAGTTATCCTTAAAGATAGTTGTATTATTTGATGGCTTTGGTTCACTTAGCCGATCCAGGTTACGGGATCAAAACGAGCTCTGTAGGTGTGCCAAGATGAATTTTTTACTGACATGCGTTTTCGAGTTCCCCTTCTGATTATTGAGGAAAAATTTGGAGAACTAACCCACTTAGAAATTATTCATATTTAGACTCAATCAGACAGTCATCACACGCTTGAAAAAACCTTGTACAGTCGTATAATCCTTTCGAGAATCTTCGACAGGGCGCCTTACATCTGATCCTAGAAGGGCTCAAACCCTGCAGCTTGCCTGTTGTCCGTCTGCGTTTGAGACCAATGAGCTACTGGGGACCGCAACGATCGTCATGACTCAGTTACTAAATGTGATATTCCGCCGCTAACTATCTACTGGCTTGCACTTTACTACTGTGCAGAGGAAGGGGTAGCCCCCTCGCCAAGCAATGTGCTTACTAAAGTTAAGCCGCCTATTATGACACCATAAGCAGTTTGCTCTGCGTACTTATTACAGAATAGCATTAGAGATAGTCGAATGGTATAGGTAGAAATTTATCACAATGGTGCCGTAACCGTAGTTCAGTGAACTCTACTACTGACTGGCCACAGTGGAGTTACGGGTTCGAACCCACTCAGTACCTGAGAAAGTAACGATTCGATTGTTGAAACTTCCTCAAAATGACTCCGGGCGCTGCCAGAAGAGCCCTCATTCAAAAGACCTAATCAATCAAAGCAACCAAATTGTCAGTATGATGCAGCGTACATTGGCGCGCGTTGACTCAGCGTGTTCCTCCGGATATTCGGCGCAACACATAACTGCAAGTTCTGGTGACTAGAACTTAGCCATATTGGGGTGTCTATAAACTTCCTGTCGATCATGGGGTCCTCATTTGTGGGTAGAAGTTTAGTATCGATGTTTTATTTTACGGTCTGCACCTATTAGGTGAGTTGACGTTGTTGTAAATTGAGCCACTTGCGATTAGTTCGTGCAGTTTCGCCTTGGATGTTTCGTAGGGGGGATGCCTAGGCGTTCACATCGTGCCCGTTGAAATCGCTGGAGATAAGATCATGGCTATAAATTGGCAGTAATTTTTTGTCAAATGCCGATATTAGACGGAAATCCATCTCTGGAGTGGATGACGGGGATGATAAACGACTGTCTCAATGCCGTTGTTATTGTATCGGAGCCACAAAATGAACCAAGGCGAATACGTGATCTGCATCTCCCGATCCTTTGGTGGTTCGCATCGTAAGCTGTTGCGATGGGACAATCGTTTCGGAAAATGCCATTTTTGTACCAAGGTTTTGTCATCTGCAACCTTTGCGTGCAGCTAAGTTTCCGTTATGGAAATGAGATCGAAAGCTGATGAGTACTTAGACATTACTGTACATGCAGGGAATATTTCGCTTTTCAGATCTAAAACCGAAAGACATGTGGCTTGGATGAGAGGTTTTGCTAACCGTTGTATGGTCGGCCACTAGCCTTTTCTGGTGGTATTATCGGTGAGTCACTTGGAGTTGGGTGTGTTGTAATCCTACTTTGCCCTTTGGTAACTTGTTTTGCGCAATGCATAGACAGTGGTTGCAGCATTGTATAGGAAGATCCGCACTTCTCTCAAAATTACTTCTAATGCGCATTTCGAATAGGGTCCTCACTTAGCTTTCTGTGTTGGACCGGAGCTCAGTAGGCAATCTGCTCCAAAGTAACACCCATAGTTCCAGTAGCATAAACTCCATTTGCCCACCATGTAGCATAACACTAAGTATTCATGGGTTGCGTCTTTGTTGATGTTGGCAGCCTTGACAGAGAAATAGCTACAACGTCTTCCATGCACAAATTCTCACTAATGTAATGTAATGTCGTGGGTCTCTGCTTCACATGCATCGGGCTCATAAGACTAGGGGACGCCATGGACAAAAGCCGTTCTGGCTGTGGTGTTTAGGCGGAATTGTTATATGATCTACATCGTCGCTTGCGCTCGCCCTACGGAAAGTTTAGAAAAAGGCGGACCAAACAAGATACGCTCTGGAGGCAGACTGTGGAAGAGAACGCTGCTTTCAACTCAGGGACGTGCATAGGTATGAGCAGAAGATGCCTGGTGTCAATACACTGCTTGGAATCCGGATGCCGGTTGATCCTCATCAGTTTAGTTGCCTTACTGGAGCCCCGAGCAGGTTGCTTATGATGTTCCAATGGCTAAGGTTATCCATTTGTTTCCACTTAAGTGAATCTGGTATTGATTGTGGCTCGTTGGTGCATATTATGTACAAGGAATCCACTTGTTTCTGATTCGCTTCCAGAAGGGTACGGGTTGCGGTTGTTAGATCTAACGATTTGCTACCTACCAGTGCAGCATCACTTCTCAGATAAGACTAGGATTTGTAGTAGAAACTGCCGTTGCGGATTCCGGAGTGCTCATAGAAGGGCTGAGAAGAAAGCGGCATCCTGCTGGACCTAACCAACTTAGTTCCATTCCATTATCCATTCTACGTTATAATGTGGTTTATGTGACCGTTCTGTATTCTGGTATAGCTGTTGCAAGTGTATATTTGTTGGTAGCATAGGTCGCACATACGGAAAATTTGATTCAAATAGAGAGTGGGATTAATTGACTGGGTTACGGACGTTCTGGTTTCGTATACACGTACATGCACGAAGTAGTATTAGATAGTAGCTTGCCGGAAAGTAGTCCTAAGGATCAGAAGTCGCGGCTTCCAGTCTGCGCAGGGACCGGGAGACCCTGGCAGTATCCTTAGCTTACGTGCGACTGACGGTGGTTGCACAGCTGCTTGTCTTCGGTACTGCGTACCGACAACTGCTGATGCGCTTAGATAACAATTTCGCGCTTTGCACGACTATTATGCCTTAATAAAAACAACATGGGCAAATACTTCCACGTTTATTTAGCACCATGTTGATATTTAAGGCTACTAAAGCAACCACTACCTTGCAGCCGGCAGTAACCGCCTACCTGCTGACGCTGCTCACACATTTGACCCAGAGCCGCCATACAGTGCTTAATAAATGAAATGCACATAGCCAGTCAATTTGTGTCAAATATTTTAATGGTACATATTATGGCAATCATTTTCACTTATTTCCTTTTAAAAGATAACTCTCGCACACTGTATTTTCCCTTTTTCAACTAAAGGTTGATGCAGACGAACTGGTTCCGGTCTGTGGTGTGGGTCGACAAAACGCCAGAGCCATGGGTGCGTTTGTGATCGGTCCACAAGTGACATTGATCGTTATCGGCACATTGGCTCTTCTGGGAGGCATGGTGATGACAGTCAAAGAGTCAGCCCGAAGAAGAAGGAATGCCCAAGACACTGATGCGTGTACGAGGTCTGGCGAACTACAAACTTCCGACGTCAGTCGGTTATTACGAAATAGTCCGGTCTCGACTGCAGTGGAGCAGAACCAGCAAACGCCAGCTAAGTGTGTCGGAAGAAGCCATTCAGAGGACAATTCGCAACGCTTTGCTCACAGATTTGTAATGGATACTGTAATGTGGCAATCTACTGATGGAATGGCTCATCGACTCGGGTTGTTTTGTTTCTTGTACCTTATTCCGGCGCTATGCGTCATTTCATGCGACATATACGAGTACTTGCACCGTGACAAATGGCTAAGAGACACCAGTCATAGTCCATCATTAAGCGACCAGGGCAGTAATATACCGTTCCCACCAAAAATCTGGAAGTCTGATGAAACGGTCGGACCTACTCCAGAAATATTCATGCTTCGTGTCTTCATGTCCTTGGTCCCAGGATTTACATGCAACTTGTGGATTTGGTCAAGTAGAAGATGCAGGCCTTTGCAGCGTTTGCAGCATACCATCAAATCATTATTATTGTCCTGCAAGAACTTTTGTCTTGCCTTCAAAAGCGGAAAATTCACTGTCAAGTCAAAAACCAACATCAGAGATCTAACCTTTCAGTTTCCACCAGCTGAACCACATACACCGACAACGTCGAGTGCAATTATACCAAGACCTCCATTTGCATTGTCCTCCTACCCGTATGCTGTGTATCAGTATCATGCGAGTCTATCTTCACGCGATCCGTTGGATAGAGCCCCTCAGTCTGCATGGTCCACTGCACTTGACCCTTGTGTTGTTCAAACCGCGGCGACCACTAACACTCTTGAAATGCAACACTCAAATGCTACCACACCTGGGTATTACAGTCAAGCCAAAGTTGGATCTATCATTGAGCCTAACCAATCTGACAGTTTTAGTGAGGAATCGCCTATACCTCCACCTCTCCCAGCTTCTTCCAGACCGCAGCGTTTGCCTTTAAGGGCAGAAAAGTGAACTAGCAGTGCTGACACAACATCAAATCTGCTACCTGTATGCGCTCAAATTGTTCTAATGCTGCGATTTACACAAACAACTGTATTTCGCAACCTATGTACATAAATTTCCCTCTCTTTGGCATTTCAGCAATCTAGTCGTGCTCAACAGACTGAAGGAAGCATTCGTTCACGTAACAACTCACTCACCATTGGCTAACACTTCGGCATCTTTCCTTCGGGCGCACAGGGTCACACTATCTCGAATTACCTGCAATGAATTACTCATTCTCTTTGCTCACTTAGTTACTTACATTTCACTTTCAGCCATTTTGCTTTCTGCCCTTTTATTTTTTTGAAAAGTCAGTTTTTGACCCCCAACAGTTTATCATTCATGACAGTACTTACTGATAATCTTTGTCATACAACTTATGTACATGCATAAAGGATCCCTGTATATCAAATTCGATTTCCTCCCTATAGCCCTAGGCTGGCGAATAAAACTAAAGTCCCATTCACACCTACTCCTAGTAGTATAGGCAATATCTTGCGGTACCATAGCACAGTATTGCGCTTAGTCTAATCAACCCGATCGAATTAATCAGCATTCTGGCCAGTTGTCAGATAAGCTGTAAATCAGATAATTTATCATGTTCATTCTCAGTCAGTAGGCTTTGGTAAGTTTGGAAAAGCACCAGACACCAGGGTTTCGACTATTTGCTTTTGGTCAGTGGTGCGCCTTCCAGCAGACCCCTGCCGGAATCCGACCCCGTGACTTCCGGATGCCAGCGGCTAGTACCACTTCGTCATGTGTGACAACCGCTGACCTGCAAGATTGACAGTTGACTATGATATAGCCCGGTGCATCTTTTACTGCCATGCCAGTTACAAACTGTGCAGATGACAGTGGCTAGAGGGTTAACCCGAAATGTGTTTGGCCTAAAATGTATACCGACTCGGCTAATTATTTCTTAATGAAAATGTAGATAAACGAAGGTCGATTTAATCGCTTTCTAGCTTACTTTAGTAAATGCGTAAGAAGAAAAGCCTACCTGATCCAGATGAGCAGAAAGTTAAACTAGACTTAATCCGGTAGCACTTCTTATAGTGAGGTCCGTTACTTGCGAGCTTATGCCGTGTGAACTATTTTTGCATCTGGTTTGCTGCTTACCAGAAATATCTTGCGCCCATATTATATATTTATTTGTTGCTTATACTGAAGTTTCTGGCAGTGTCATTCATTGTACAGAACTTGCAAATTATAAATCGGAGCTCTCAACATCGCCGCCTTATCAGAATCTTAAATCTCCTTGTTTCTCCATCGGTGCAGTTAATGTGACACTTGCTGTGATATCTTGTTTGAAAACGGGAATGCATAAATCATGTATCATTTAACGTAAACGCACTTAGAACGGTCGTATATTAGATTACAACCTTGGTCACGAAAAAGTGAAACGTCGTTTAAATGTGTAAATACAAAACAACTTTATTGCACCTATTTGTTATTGAGGTGCACTTAAAAATATTTCCAATAATGCAATAAATCTAGCTTATAGTAATTGTTATTTTTCGGGAAGGATTCGTTTGTTGCACGTAAGAATCACCAGTATATATATATATATATATATATATATATATATATATATATATATATATATATACATCAGAGACAGCCGCCACAAATATAGAAAAAGAAAACCGCGCTCGGCTTATGGTTAATGAAAAAACAAAGCTTTCTTTTACAAGCCATGGTTTTGTTAGACATGGTACCTAACTCAGTTCTTGTATGCAGCCGACGCTGAACTTGGCGTAACTGATGCTAGAATGAACTATATGACCGTTAACTATGAATGAAGAAATTTCTTGAACTAACAATTCCATGGCATGGTTAGCTTGACCACGTATGTTATATTAATGGTCTGTTTTGCATTTTTTGCGTTTTGTCCATTTTGATTAACGTTAACAGGAATATTCTGTGTAGCTGTTCCACATTTCAACAAACTTCTGGGGCCATGTTATGTAAAATAAGCTCAGCATGATGCTACATTTGTTAGCCCACCTGCACAAATGTGTTTATTTCACGCTGAAAATCATAAATATTTCCCTTAAACTTTCCAACGAAGATTGACACCAATCACTCCAAACAAGCTTTGGGTCATGTAAAACACGCGGTCGTTGGGCTTGGTTCAGTCGGAGTATTTAACAAATACAAAACAAGAACGATTAGCGGAGTTAAAAGTAAGCGATAGGAACGTCCAAGCTGACTTATCACATTGTTGTCACATGACGTCCAGTTGATCATCAGACTGATTTTGGAAGAGAACAAGAGAAAAATTGTGCGATAAGCAGCTAATTGAGGACTACACTCAAGTATTAAGGATCATACAAAACACTTCAATGCGAAGACGCATGTCGCAATAAGATATCCTTTCGTGGCCTCTTATCACATGCAAAACAGCAACATACTAAATGATCCCTGAGGGAAAGAATCAATAAGTTGAATACTGACAGAAAGAAGTAGTGGGCCAAAACGTCACAGGCGACACTGAAATAACAAAAACAACACAAGTATCACGGACCCCCGGATGCCTTAGTTTGACAGTCAAATGTTTTTGTACACAGAGGTCAGGACTATTACGGTTGATGGGCACAGCCTAGGCGAACTTGAGTATTTAGGCGCTTTTTATGCAATACCAACCGTAAACGCGACGTCTGTATAAACCTGATGACCCGTAATTAGTATGTGATTACTAGTCGATGAAGCCAATATTTTGAAACTTGACGCCTGTCTTCGTGTTTGATCTCTCGTATTAGCAATAACCCATATTGGAATGTGCCCTCGATTCGCTTAGGTAGACACAGATCTGCTCTGCCTAGGTAACTGCTTCCGCAGTTACAGACAAAGTGGTAAATACAATGTGTTTTGGCAGAGATCGATTGGGTTAGCTTGACCGGAGACGTTGGTAAATTCGTGGCAGTCCAAATAGGGCATTGTCTATCAGCATTGAAACTCCGTCGAATTAATGTGCCTACCCGTCGTCCGACTTGCTTTGCCATGACACGGATTGATACCATTTGTGTGTGTTTTGCACATCATGGACCAAATGAACTAAACTAAGGCAAATAAAACTAATCCCTAGGTACTAGAAATACATTAAGATTGGAGGGCCTAGGTTAAAAATCACTCACACCGAAACTCGGTATGGTCGTGAAACCCATTAGCAATCTTTCCATTTAAGTGACATCCTAAGATGCAAAAGAGCAGAAGGAACGAAACAAATTTACAGTTATTATTTCCATTCTGCTAACGTTCGCAGATTAAGATGTTGCGCAGTTTACCGTAAAGGGCATTATTTGGCTCTTACATTGTAAGTTCTGGTTCCCTAAAGTAAGTTTTCACAAAATAGAGGTCAGAAAATTAGCGGTTATCATTTTACTCGTACCTATCTGTATACTTTCATGCGTCAAATTAACATTGTCCTTTATGTATCCAGCTACATTGTTCGTAAGGAAAAGATTGCAGTTTAGGACGCCTTGATATATTTCAGAGATTGAATTATCAATGGACGTTATTCCATACAATTACGGTGTGTTTTTCACCGGAAGCACAAAGAAGATTTATACTCCATAACTAGACTCACCGTGTCCTTTAGAGATTTCTTGGAATCACCTGGCAAGTAAAGTTGTACTCCAAATTACTACATGTTTCGCAATCTTCACACTTCTACCTGTAAATGGTTTGTCATCCATATGAGCACTAGACGTGGATACCTGAAGTAGCAAATATAGATTGCCTTTATAATATCACTGCACAGCACTCCTAGGGTGCTCAGTTTGGGGAGCTCGATAACATGCCATGCGTCCAATGTATAGCTTGTAAATGGGCTAAGCTAATCTAGCTTGGTTACTTCTATCATGTGAACAACATTCAGGTTAGAATAGACGATTCTGGTAAGCGCTTGCATCATTTCCACTGATGTCGTTTATCCACCTGCGTTAACACCTGGTAGAAAAATTTGATTTCCTGTCTAGCGTTCTTCCTAGGTATTTCAAGTTTAAGAGATAGACCAAAATAGCAGCTGATCATAGAATGCAAGGCAACAAACAAATAACCTCACACTTTTATCTATATAAGATTTGGCATTGTGGATGAAACTCCTTAAATTTTTTAAAATATTTGTAATGGGAAATGGCCATTGTAATCTCTTCTTCTGAAAGGCAAGTTGGTTGCAACCTCTGAAATACCCATGTTGTTCGTCAGCATTTAAAATACTTGCTTCCATGGAAGTTGGACATATTAGCAGACTTAGTGACTAAATCTCACACAGACACATAGTAACCAACTAGAGACGAAGAACACAGATGGTTAAACGAGGCCGTGCATACGTGATGGACCGCATTTTCAAACCATCTTGTTTTAACCAGCCTCTATTGAAGAGTTAACCACAATGTGGAGGGTTGTATAATGTTCAACCGAAAGTTAATGCCCTGATAAACTCTTGCTTGATGTAAAATATGTACTCACACATGTTCAGCCGCATACGCATGCACACCTTCGCGTTACACACTAATCTGGACGATAATGTCAATTAGGTTGCAAGTCATGACGTTCCGTTGACGTCACTTGTTCCATGATGACATTATTCACCGGCTAATGACGTATGCCACTGATGTTCAGGTGTTCGGTTCCAACTGGAACGGAACGGCCGTTTGGTGCATTTATAGACATATGGACAACTATGTGACTGGGAAGCAATTGCGATGAATTTCCAATAAGAAAATTATAAGAATTTGCGGGTTTCTTTATCATTCTTCCTATGTCTGCGGTGCCGGAATGACAAAGTACACAATCTCGTTAGATTTACCTACTGAGGAAAGATTGTATCAGTCACCCGCAAGTAAAATGTGGCAAATTTGTTTCGCGGAATTCCGCAGTAGATTGTTATCTCGATATAAGTTACTTTCCGGAACAAAGATTGATAGTTGTGTGGATTAATCACGCAAAATGTTCTAGACAAAGCAAGGTATTTAACAGGAAACGTGAGATTCGTTTAGTTCGAAAATGCAGAATATATTGCCAATTCGGAAACCTATTGAAAACAAATTATTAAGCTATTTACAAAGCACAAGATGGTTGTTTCGTGGCAATGGTAACATTAATTGAAAATATGAATAGTCAACCACTCTATTCGTTTATATTTCAACAATGTAATTGCGTAGTATTATCTTATGTCAACGAATACTTGGAAGTCATATACGATGGTAACAGTAAATTATGTACGAAAATCAGGATTAGTATAATCCCAGTTTACCGCGGCAGTGAAAGCTTTTTTCTTCAACCAAAATTAAAATCCTGCGAAATTTCTGCGGCACTAACATGACTTTTCGTAGTTTCACCTCGAATATTAAGAGCTATCAAGGCATGCTCATTCAGTACATACATGTTGATCATGATTCAAAACAGAGGACTTACTATAAAGCAGAACTAGGTGCTTCGTGCTGCTGTGTGAAATGATG